GTATAACAAAAGCAAAGAGTGGGTTGTCAGAGCTCCGTCAGCAGATAGCAAGCTAAATGGGGGTCTGTGCTTACGGTGGGTGGTCCTTGGATAGTGCGGGCCCCCTACTGGGGGTCCCCGCCATAGTTCGGGTGAATTCGCTTGGCACAAAGGGGGTCCTAGGACAGTGGAAGGACCCGCCCTCAGTTTTGCCGGGGGGGGATAGCGCGGGTTTGTCTCATCCCAAGAGCCTTTTTGGGGCGGATTTGATGTCTAGCCAGGTCTCCGCCTCCCGGGGGGGTGGGGGGGGGGGGGGATTGTGTACTGCTGTGGATGCCACCTCGTCAAGACACTGCCTGTCGTACACATGCATGCGGGGACGCATCTGTCTCTTACTACAGTATTTGCTGCTGTAGATCAGTTGGGTCTCGATCGATGCAAACATGTCAAACTCGGAATCGTTTATCTTCTTCAGAAATCCGTGCACAACAATCAATGCCATCCCCGACTCTTTCCGTGGCGACGCGAGTTGCGGGCGGTGGGGTTGCCTGTGCCGGTTCAAGGGTACATGTTTTAGAGGTTCCTTGTAGACGGCAAAGGTAGGAGGAAGAAGGGTGTTGGTCTACTGTAGACTGTCACAACAGCATCAATGGTTTGGTTTGGGGGGTGGGGGGAGGTGTTGTTGAGGTGGCAGCAGCGAGCCGCGCGTGCAGAGCGAGCGAGGAGACGCTATCAAGCTATCGACACACGGGTGGGTGGGCCGGCTTAGAAAGAGGCGAGGCCGTCCATCTCTCGAGTGTTTCTAGCACGCCCCCTGCGCATGCACGCACGCGCGGCATTTTTTTCGCCCATCAAAACCGATTTGTGGCATGCAGAAACACGATTAGTTGAGAGAGGTTGGCAACAAAGGGCGTTGTCAAACTGAGCAAGCATACTTTTGCGATGTCAAAAAAGCAACTGCCAAAAGCAGATGATTCTGTTTCAGAGGTGTACCCATTATACGCTTGCCACGTCAACAAAAACGGCTGAAATGGAGGAAGCGCGCGGGGCGTTGCACCATTGCAGAGCACTTGCCTTGCCATTAACTTTAGAGTGTCGCTTCGTGCGCAGAGCCTCCTTTATCATTCTGCACACGAGGCCCCAGCTATGTGGACAGAAAAAGAGATGAAGAAAAAACGGCAATTTTACTCACATCCGCCACGGGTGTGTGTGGTGAAACTGCTGTTGGTCCTCTCCCACCCCCTCCAAACTCTCGCTCTCGAACGCTTTGCTACCCGCACAAAATACGCGAAAACACTAACAACTGAGGGCTTGTTCGCAACCCCTCCATCAACCCACGCTCCCAAAAGAGCGCAACAGCGATATGCAGCCATTTGTGAAAAAACTCAAAAACGTACCTACGAGCAAGAAAGAAACTCTCGACACAAAAAACGCACACAAATACGCAGAAGAAGAAACAATCAACACCCAATACCTTGGAGCCCCCCACCCCCCTATGAGACCATCAGGCGCCTTTTTCTCTCGTTGTCTACTACACTGCTAACGACATACCCAGCAACATCGAAGATAATAACTATTCTCACGACCCCCCTTCCCCCCTCCCCTCTCCCTCGTCAGGCTTGCGCCATTATGCCCCTCCCCGATTCCGTCCCATCCCGATCCGTGCAAAACTACGCCCGCCTTTCGAATGATAAATCGTGTGAGAGAAGAAACGGCAACTGCTGCCTGTGTGTACGTGCAAGGGGAGACGAGGGGTTCCAGCGCCGCAAACTTCTCCAAAAAGAAGCAACCCCTTCCCCCCCTGCCCTGCCCTCCCCCCCCCCGCTGGCTTGTCGAGTGTCGAGGCCAGGCCATCAATCCATTCAGGTTCAGGTTCAGCTTCAGGCGTCCCATTCTTCTTGTGTGACCTCGTCGCTATGCGTGCTCAATCCTGGCTCGAGACTCACGGCCTTCATCTGGTCCTCCGCCAATCTGCAGACGTACCAGTAAAAACAAAACAAAGAAACACACACACACAGCCGGTTAGCGCGGTAGATGCTAATAATAAAACACACACACACACACACACAGGCCCTTGTGTTTTCAACTGCACTAAGACTGACGTTTTTTCATTGGTCAGCCGGTTAGCGCGGTCGATGCTATAATAAAAACACACACGGGCCCTGCGAATCATGGCGTTTGGTTGGGTTGGTTCGACGTGGACACCACTACTGCTGTGGACGCAACAAACCGCGGAGCGCGACAAGAGACGTGCCGGGTGTGTTGGGTATCGGGGTGGTCAAGCCAACAAGAGATCGTTGTGTTCAAACAAAAAAAATACGAAATTGAATAGCACAGCACACGGCTGCACGCCGGAGCGAAATGATCGGGAACTACCCGTGTGCGCGGGCGTGTACACGCATGCATGCGCGCTATACAAGCCGAAATCAAAACACTAGACTAGTCAGCGCTGACTATGACTAGTCTAATGGTTTGATTTCGGCTTCTTTAGTGCACGCGACGAGCGAGCACGTATCATAGCAGCAGGACAAGATAAAAAGACAATAAGAGAAGCAACCACCACCCACAGTTCCCCCGCCATCAAATACAAAGCCACCACCGAACCACGAATAAACCCTGGTCACATCTCACCATCGATCAGCACAAGCACAGCCTACGCCATCAACAACAATTTCCATCAGTGGCCACAACTGAACACACCCGAAAGAGAGAGAGAGAGAGAGAGAGAGAGAGAGAGAGAGAGAGAGAGAGAGAGAGAGAGAGAGAGAGAGAGAGAGAGAGAGAGAGAGGGAGAGAGAGAGAGAGAGAGAGAGAGAGAGAGAGAGAGAGAGAGAGAGAGAGAGAGAGAGAGGGAGAGAGAGAGAGAGAGAGAGAGAGGGAGAGAGAGGGAGAGAGAGAGAGAGAGAGAGAGAGAGAGAGAGAGAGAGGGAGAGAGAGAGAGAGAGAGAGAGAGAGAGAGAGAGAGAGAGAGAGAGAGTCCAGACGTCACATCACATCATCCTACCTGACCCCATCTGCCTCAGACTCCGCGGGGGGCACTCTGGCAGCCTCAGCCTCCTCCGCAGCTAGCCGGGAAGCTTCCGCCGCCGCCGCCGCCGCCGCCGCCTCTTGCTGCTGCTGTGCATCTGCGGCCGCCTTTGCCGCTTCTGCGTCTTGGGCGGCTTGCTGTGCCGCTGCCGTCGCTGCCGCCGACGCCGCTGCCTCCTCTTCCGCTGCCTTGTTCTCGTCCGCGAAAGCCGCAGAGGCCTGGCGGTGCAAGTTTGTATGGGCGGCATGTATCGATGTACGGAACACGGCATTGACCATCCCAACAATCAAGACCAAGCCCAAAAAAACAAAGGAAATGAGAGCAACACGACGTCGGGCACATCCGACAACAGTAGAGAGAGAGAGAGAGAGAGAGAGCACATCCAAATGGGGGCGACGCAAAAACACGCCACGCCCTTGTATTGTAACGCAATAAAAAGAGATGAACAAAACCAACCTGGTGCGAGCACACACTCAAGCCACTTCCACTCAACGAACGAACTTCCTTTTGAACAACAACAACATCAAGAGGTACATACCAGGTTTTTGTACCACGCCAGCTTTTCCAACCAAGAAACCAAGAAAAAAAAAAAAATGTGCAGATGTGTTCACGATATCATCGCCTAGCATCCACATCTTAGCTTCACAAACATACCAGCAGTCCTTCGTACAACAACAAAAAATTACTGTCGAGTCAAACCTGCTTGGCTTGCTGCTCCGCTTTCCACGCCTGGATCCTCCTCTGCGTCTCCTCGTCCGCCTTCTTCTGAGCAATTTTCGCCGCCGACTCTGCTGCTGCTGCTGCTGCCGGTGGCGGCTTGGACTGTCCGAAGGTCGACCGTCCCCCCGACGAGAAGGGCTTGGGAGACGTTGCCGACCGGAGTCCCGTGGGAGACATGAGCGGCTTGGGCGCCTGCGTGCGCGTGTGCGTTTCGTTGTTGTGTGGGTGGGTGTGATTCTTTTACGAACGTACTTCTAGCATCAACCGCGCTGATTTGGCTGGGACCAAACGAAGAATAATTTGGTCTTGTATATAGCAGTAAAGCGAAAAAAAAAGAAGAGACGCCGACACAATTGTGGGGATGGATAATGTGTGGGTGCTGGGCGTTGTTCCCGTGTGTGAAAGTCTAAATAGTACTGGGGTTTTTCATTTGCCACCACCAATGGCATCGGCCACGCTAACGCTAAATGGTCGGCTCTTCAACGAATTGACGGCAATCTCCACCGGCAAGTAAGATGGGAAAATATTCCTAGTTCCGTCACTGTGTTTACCGGTGAATCCGTGGAAGTGTGTGGGTGCCGTACGGTGGGGTACGGAATGTGTGGGTCAGCGGAGACCGCAGCGGGGCGGCCTCTCTTCGTACCATGGGCTAATCGCTGTGCTGGTGCTGGTGCTGGTGCTGGTACTGCTGTTGTTGGCGGTTGTCTGGACGTGGATGAATACCTATCGCCAGGGAAACTGGGCTTTCATTGTTCACAAGTTGCCCGCAAAGTTAAAACGCTTCGAGGCATATAATACACCCCAGCCAGACAACAACCAACACGTGCGAAAAGAAAAACTCGCCACAAACGCCAACCACACCCTTCCCAAAAGAAACGCCCAGCATACATTCCACACACACAACACACCTGGGGGGTTTGTTCCAACGCGGCCGGCGCCGGCATGGCCCCCGCCCCCCCCCCATCCGGCGACGCCGTGCGCTCGTTCTCGCAGTGCCACAGGCTAGCGCAGAAGAGCATGATCATCCTCGACATGACCTGCACGATGTCCTCCGCCGCCACGAACACGCACGCGCCCAGCTTGCGCGCCACGCTGATGGCGTACTTGGCGTTGTTGGTCTTGTCCTCGTCGTTCGCGGGGTCCATGACGACAAGGTCCCAGTTCACGGTCGACTGGTCGATGCCGTGGCACACCTGTTTCGATTCGTTGCATTCGGGTTCGGGTATCATGGTGAGACGTAGATACATACATAGCAAAATAATGTTTTATCCAGACAAATCCAGTCCACCTTTTTTTTTTTGTCTACACTTCAAATCAGCGCTCACAGCACTAGTGCCGTTTACTCCAACCCGTGGTCACACAGAAGAGCCCCTCTCTACCCTCCCCTCCTGCGGTACGTTGCCTTCGATTTTCTATGCGAGAAGCGTTCAGCACTCTCTTCCCTCTGTGTGCACACGAACTAGCGCTATCCACTAGGCCAGGAGCGGAAGCGAGAGAAAAACTCACTTTGCAAGAAAAGCTCGCTTACGCCGGGATTCGAACCCCTGACCTGACCTCTAGAAGTTTTCGAGGGATACCAACTAGACCATCGGGGCGACCGGCTGTACATACATCGCAAACATATGCTATCATCCAGATAAATCCAGTCCACCGTTGGAACCATGACAATATAATCACAGGACGGGGGTAACCGCGGCCAGACTCTGCTGAAGCCTGAAGTGTTTCTCTTCAAACACAATGAACGGTAAGGCCCGAGCCCTTCTATCCAGTCCGCCTCGGAGCAAAAAAGAACACCGTCACAATTTTGGCAGAACCACTGTAATCCATCACCATCCTCACGCTCACGCTCCCGACCATGACCACCATCGCCCTTCCTCCGCCCAAGCCACATACTGTACCAACAACACCACCACCGCCCGGCATCGTGCCGCCGCTTCCTCTTTTCGTACCTTGAGCAAGAAAACGCCCGTCGACAGCGAAGGGTCCCCGAAGCTGCGAATCTTGGACCCTTCGACCTTGGAGTTGGCCCACGCCACGATCTGCGGGTCCTCTATCCTCTTCCCCTTCTTGGAGAGAGCCTGTTGTAATGGTGGCATGTTTCGTGTGTTACGTTTGATGCCGCCATGTGCGCAGCAATCATGATCCCATATATCCCATCACGTAATACGAAACAAAACACTGTCATCGCAAGCGTGGCCGAGACACCAACGGACACAAGATGGCACAACCGCCGCATGCTAGACGGCCACGCACACGCAAAACGAGAGAGAGGTCTACAATCTACGCGTGGTGCGGCTCAACACCTACAATTGTACAAGTAGCTGTGGGCGCAGGGGATAGATATATATCTGGGCCCATCAACCTTAATGTAACCGGCGTACCGGGCGAGGCGTTGATCTAACCAGATCACTCACGATCGAATGTGTGAATTTTTAGAAAAGAGCAGCGATCCAAGCCGATGGTGACAAGATAGAAAACAGAATTGAGGTGATTACTGCAGTATTCAAATAGGAATTCAACAAACAAAAACAAAAAAACAACTATTTAGCTACAGCACAAAAAACGAAGGAAGGAACTAATACGTTCATTTCTCCGTCTCTCTCTGCCTGCCTCTCTCTCTCTCTCTCTACAGCATCTCGATCTCTCGCCTGGAGAAGGTTGAGGGTGTGCCGGCGCATGAGCTGCCACATGATGGCCAGCGTCATCTTGCGGTTGCCATCGATGATGTCCAACCCCCCCACGTTCACCACCGTAAGCCCCATCACCTGAATGTGAAATTAATCCACACAGCACAACACAACACAACATCATCATCATCGATCGAGCATCAATTGGTAAAGGTGCGATACGCCCGTGAACACGGTTGCATTGTAGGACCACGAGATCCCCCTGGAAGAAGGGAGGCGTCAATGCCTCAGAAAAGAAAACAAGAGAAAAAGAAAAAAAAATTGCTCTCGCATTCTCCCCCGCCAGGACGAAAGACAAGACAACAGCAGCAACGACATCAACGCCTGCACCCTTTACCGCCACCACCATTACCAACGGCAGCAACCACCACCACCATCACCACCACCACCGCCACCACCAACGACAACAACAACAACAACAACAACGACAACAACAACAGTAACAACAGCCACCGCCACCACCAACGACAGCAACAACACAGTTGAGCTCTCCCGATAGACGCTCACAAAGAAAGGTAAAAGTGATGTGGTACACAAAGTGTAGTACCTTGGCGATGTCGATGACGTAGTTCCCGTTCTCCACCTTCTTGAAGCGATTCTTCGGAGCGATGTTGACGCGCTTCCACACCACGACCCCGGGCTGAATGCGGTCCATCACCTGTACATCCATCGATCGCATAAACGTACGCATAGGTAGGGCACACGATGCAGTGAGCGAGAGACCAACTATTTGGGGGGGGGGGGGGGAGGGGGGGAAACATAATTGAGAGATCCAAACGACGAGGAAAAAAAAAACTATAATAAGATGCCGACAAGAGGGGGAGAGACAAGTAGAGACAGACAGAGGGAGAAGAACAGCGAACGTTTGATAGAGAGAGAACCAACCCCACCATACAGAGAGACGACAAACCCTTAGCAAGCAAGCAAGCAAGCAAGCAAGCAAGCGAGTCGGTCGTCACGACCTCCGCCACGCGCCACCAACCAACGCACCTTGAGGATGGCGGAGCCGTTCTGCACGTCGGCGAAGAGGTTGTTGATGTACAGGTCTCCGTTGTCGATGGCCAGGCTGTTGATCCACATGCGGAAAACCTTCTCCTCTCGTGTGTCGCCTGCGCCGATCGATCGATCCATCCATCCATCCATCACCCATCCCATCACGTGCCACGCCAACAACCAAAACCGTCATTTAGTTCGTCGACGTGACACGAGCATCGCGTGTGCCGTACACGCACATAATACGATGGGCTTGACGGGAGCACCCCGTGCGCCGTACATCAAAATTCAACGAACAGCATGAAGCGATCGTAACAGCAACGCATCGTGAAAATCATGATGCTACACAAATCTCGGCGGGGAACCAAAACAAACAAAACACGCTTTGCTCGCGTCACTCAAAAAAGACCGGCGATGCGACTCCGGCAAACAAGACGACGCACTACAAAGACAGCACCAGAGAACGAAAAGCCTGCCTGTCGCGACACGTTGAGCCCTACTGTACAAGTACGCTTCCGGAAACCCCCGAGGCCCAATCATCGGATCAATCTAGCTTTCAAGCGAGGTACACCTATAGGTTTGCTCACCCTCGTCATCGTCCTCCAGGTTGGCGAAGTCCTCGGTGAACTGCTCCATCACTTCTTGCTGCAATGGAGAGATGACGCCACCGCAACAAAAAAATAATAAACCAAGAATACAGCAAGAAAAAAGAAAAGAAAAAAAGAAAGGGTGTGTGTGTGGAACAAAGGAAGGCGTAGGAAAAAGACGTGCATGTGTAAAGTGGTACATATACTGCCATGCCAAATATCAAACATCAAACACATTGGGCGTAACAAAACACAGCGGTACTGTAGGCCCGTCACACAATAATCGCTTGAGTGGTGCAGCTCGTAACCTCGCGACACCATCTGGCTCTAGGTTTCCGGTTCAACCCGTTTCATTAGAGGAATAAACTCAAAATTAGGGTAGCAGCGCAGAGCGCGTGTAGTAGTGCAGAGCAGAGCGCGTGTAGTAGTGCACAGCTCATGGTGGTGAGAGTGAGTACACCTGAGCAGAACAAAGAGGGAGGGAAGGGGACTGCTGAGAATGAGCCCTTCGCGCGTAAACAAAAAGAAGACAAGCACCGCATGAGGAAAGGCGGGAGGTAAACACACGCTGAAAACTGTGCACCTTCCTCATGTATGCGCCCCCCCCTGCCGGTGAGTGAAACACGCACTGAAAGGTGTAGACTATACTAGCGCCCAGAATGGATGTGGCGAAAAAAAATAATACAAAAAAAAGTAAAACAAAAACTTCGTATCTAACCCTAGCTGCAGGAAGGCCGGCGTCTGCTATTTAGTAATGGTCCGGAGGTATGTTGCGGTGGATGGTAAATCGCAAAGACCCTTGCTCCCACGCGTGACGATGACGATAGCAATGACAATGACTATCGCAATGGCATTAGATATCATATCATACCTCCACCGTGAGGTTGGGGTTGGTGTTGAAGAGCTGCGCACAGAAGGCCAGGAGCAGCTTCTTGTTGGCGTTGATGATGTCCGCCGGCTGGATGAACGTCTCCGCGCCCATCGCCTGCAAATCGACCAGCAAACGACACAACAACAAGCGCCGAAACGATGTGTCACAAGCGTGGTATGACCAACGAGACACGAATAGAATGCAACACGAAACCCAGGGTATAACACAACACTTAAAAAGCACGTGTAACACCAACATCCCAATGCCACATGAATAGAATGAATGGAACACCCACACCAAACTTCACACGTAAAACAACGCCTGATTTGACGTATGACGGCAACACAACAGCGAGACAGCAACCGCCGACAGCAGCAACCAGCATCGTACGCGCACCTTGGCATTGCTGATGATATGCCTTGCGCGGGCCTCGGAACCAGGCGGCTCGTTGCAGGGCTGGCAGACGGTGGGGTCTAGCTGTGACAGCAGAACTGAGAGGGCCTCGCCGTCCCTCAGGTCGTTCCCGAAGTTCTTTACTCGCTTCGCCGAAGAAGACTTTTTCGAAAAGAACGAACCAAGAGGGCGAAAGTTCCAAACAAGGAGCAGACAAGCGTGCCAGATGAGACCATTGCAAAAGAGGGCATGCGGGTGTCGTTCTTGTTTTCCCGTCGATGTCGTCGTCGCTGTGGTTGCATTTAAAAACAGTTCCGATTTCTTCTCAAAACTTCCTTCTAGCATCCATTTTCATTTTCGTTCCAACTGAGGCGGACGCTTCATAGGCTGTAACGACCAGTGACGCAGTGACTCAAAGAGCGGTGGTGTGGTGTGGTAAACCGTGTCGCAAGAGACAAACTGTCTTGTTGAGCCTGTTACCCGCAGGGGAGATGTCCCTACATGCTGTCTGGGAAACCGTAGACATACAGGTACTTTCTGACGCTATGAATTCATTGCTAATCTGTCTCAGACTTTACTCTTTTCTATGATAGAGATGGATTCGTTGTGTCATATTAAGAAAAAAAAAAAAAGTAAACCGCAGCAGACAACACCATGCCGTCAGTTCGTCGGCGTTGAAAGCGCAACCAGATCAACAACAAACAAATTAGCGATCAATCCGCCGCCGCTGGTGCCATTCGCCGCATTCGTACAAAACAACCACACACAACTTGGTGGTGGTCTCTTGGGGGGGGGGGTCCTCGTGTGGAAGAGGCTAACCCTACTCTTTTTACCTTACTCTTTTGCCATGTTAGACCACGCAGCAAAAAGCAGCGGCACGACGAGCACACAGCAAGCCAAGCAACCAAGGAATACGGCCGTGCGATCGCCGCGTTGCTCGAGAAATCTCAAGTGTCTTGCACCACGCAAACCTAGACCAGACAAGCTCATGTGGTGATAGGTAGGGAAGGCACTACAATCGTCCGCCATGCATGGCAGGTTCAGGCAACGCTGTTTTCGTTGGCATAGACAGACATGCCGGGCATGCAACTCCGCGACGCCATCCAATCAAGAAAGCAACGTTGCAACTGGTGCTGTTGCCCAGCAGGACCACCTCACACACCATCACATCCTACCTCCGACAGCGACGAAGAGATTACGTGCGGCAGGCAGAAACACCACGGACGCGCACCTAACGTTGCAGTTGTTGCGCCAGCTACGCTACGACACAGACACAGCAGCAGAGACCAGCTTGTGCCACCGGCGGACGTAGCTGTGCGGCCAACCCACCTTCCTGCGATGCAGAGAACTACTATAACTACGGGAGTACAGCAGAATAACAGCAGCATCACCAGAACAAGAGCAGGAGCAAGACTCACCCTCTCGAGGTGGTAGTTGAACCAGCGCAGCAGGATCGCCTCGGGCTGCAAGGCCAACAGCCCGTCCAGCTCCTCTCCCTCCTCCAAAAGGCAAACCAGCTCCGGGCAGGACGTCAAGCTATATCACATAGTACGTACACAAACCACCGCACGCACGCAAGGACAGTTGGGCGTGTGTGATCACATGTGTTCGACAAGGGAGAGAGAGGGAGAGAGAGAGAGAGAAGCAGGAAGTCAAGCTACCGACATACACAAGAAAGGCGTGTGTATGTTATACTAACAGACGGAGAGACAGAGGGAAAGAGAAGTAACCAAACAACACACAAACACCGCCAGCAGCCCATACATGCTGCTTGTTACACGTTCACGACAGTTTGCTGCTTGACCTCACCGCTTACGCGGGCATGGAGGGAGACCACAAAAATTCGACCGAAAGGACTGGCTTGCAATGAGGGTAAGAACAGCGTTTGAGTGCTCTACCTTACTCTCTCTTGAAATAGAATCTTATGAATACCTGATGGAAGACAGCAGCTGTATCCGGATGATCTGCCAGACCAGTCCCAGGATGAGAATAGAGTTGCCGTCGATGATGTCCTGTGTAGTCGTGTAGTCACATGCAGGCCACACCACCGCCATACCCAACAACGATGTTAACAGTATAATTCAAGAACATTGGGCAGAGGGAGAGATAGAGAGAGAGGGAGCGAGAGAGACGCACACACGAAGACAACAGAGTGAACAGTTGTAGCAGATCCCTCTCGTTTTCTTCATTTCTCTCCGACCGACAACCGAGCTCACCCTGACGCTGACCCAGTCGTCGCCCTTGTGGGCTTCGCATTTTGATGCCTTTTCCCCTTCTGCCGCCCCGTAGCAGGGGATTTGCTCAACCGTTGTTCGACGAAGGGTTGCAAGCAAATCCCCAGTTTTTTGTCGTTTTCGATCATCTGTGCCTTCCGGTACCCGCACGATTCGACCGCCATCCTCCGAACAACGCACGAAACGGTTTTCGTTGGGTATTGTGATTTCTTCGGACGGCTGTTCTTACACATGTTTTTCCCCCCCTTTTGGCCTCCTCGGGACCATGGATTTTTTCAGCTAGTT